AAGTAACTTACTTATTTGACCAACAAAAGAATTATTTATTCTAAAATTTGTTTACTTATTAGTAGAGTTTTAAATGGATCGGATCCGTCCATATTCAATCTGATCCGATAAGGATAATTATTCGATCTGATCCGATAATCCAACGAATATAGTCCATATAATTTTTTATGTATCGGATATCCGATTTGATAACACGATTCGAAATTAAAGAAATTAGAAAAATAAAATTAATCTTGAAATTAACTTTTCTTTTCTTTTTTCCCCCAATTTTTCCAATTCTTAAATTGGTTTAATAATTATAAATTTTTTTTTTTTAACTTTTAGCCAATTGGATTGAAAGACAAAAAAAATTGCTTACGCATTTATTTACTCACTTATTTATATAGTGTATCTTTGAACAATTTGTTATAAACTTTCAATATAGGATAAGAATCCATATGGTTTGACTGCAGTGTATTGTACTATTATATAAATAATTTCAAAATCTTAAAAATAAATGCAAAAATTTTAAAAAATATTTTTTAAACAATTCAGTTCCTTACAAGTCTACAACTCTTTTTGACACCCGGCATTAGAAAGAGACAGCTACACAACTTTGGAAGGGTACGTGTACGTTATACAGGGAAGGCACAAAACACAAATGATTAATAGGATTTAACGTGAATGATAACATCTTGAGTAATGCTATTCATTCTCACTGAAAATTAAAATACAATTTGCGTGATGTTAATGTGACATTAAATAATAAGTGAAATTAAATAAGTCATTTAATTTTACTTTTTATTTAACATATCATTTAAAGCCACATAAACTACATTTTCATCCCCACTGAAGATGAATAACATTACTCTAAAATCTTACGTGACTTTCACATGATTTTAAGTTAGATGGCAAATGTCATCATACTGTTTAACATTGCTTTTAAATTCAATTAAAAGTCGAGTTCAATTTCAACATCCACATTGACAGTTCGAGTCACTTGAACCCAAATTCACATAATCAAATAGGGTAGGAACCCATATTGTCATTTTAAAGGTTGAGGCCCATAACCACAAGTGTAAAAGGTTGCATAGTGCAACCCATTTTATCACCATTCTTTATGCACACAAGACAGAAAATAATGCCGAAGAGCCTAGAAAACACTGTTTTAACTCATCTTACAAGTCCATCTTTTTCAAGTGCAGAAGACAACTATAACAAAGATCGACTAAGCTATAACGTTGGTTCTATTCAAAATACAAGGTCTATAAAAAGAGGTTAGTTTCGTACCACATGGGTGAATATCTATATAAATTCAAATATGTCGAATCACTAGCGGTATGATCTTCTACATCTTAGGCATTCTCATTCCAGTACAATTCAATTGAACATTTTGCTCGTTCGTATTTGATTATGTAAAATAAAACTTTAGGGGCATGTCTTATGCTCAACTAAACATGAATATATATGATGAATTTTGTCAGTAATTCTATATAGGCCCTGTTTGGGAGGGATTAAATTTTTCTACAGTAAATCAATTCTCATTTTCAACCACACATTCTTCAATAAAATAATATTTTCAATCTCATCAATAATTTTTTCTTAACCACACATTCTTCAATAAAATAATATTTTCCATGACATCAATAACTTTTTCTTCTTTTTCAATCACACATTTCCCATTATATCACTATTCAAAATCAATTCTTCCCCCAAAAATCTCTCCCAAACAAGCTCATAATCTTATTCTATTTAGCATACTATTAAATCCATTGATTTTTTTTTTCTTTTTTTTTTATTTTGCACATTTTACGAGTCAGACAAATAAAGGCCCTGTTTGGTCCACATTATTTTTTTCATTCTCATTCTTCTACTCATTTTCAACCACACATTCTTTAATAAAATAATATTTTTCATCACATAAATAAATTTTCTTTTTTTTTCAACCACGTATTCCCCATCACATCAACAGTAAAAATGAATTCTTGTACGTGTTGATATTGCTAGATGTGTTTTAAAACAAAATGCTTCTAGAAGACTATAGTCCATTATTGGGAGAAATGATTATTGGTTCATATTTGCTGATTTTAAGATTGGAAAAGTAGATATTAAATTAAAGTGATAAATACTTGTGGGAGTCATCTATTCTCGTCAAATAATTGAGACCTTGGAGACGTCCATTTCCCTCCATGATTTGATAGGGATATTTACGCTCTAAAGGATTATGTTTGGTTAAACTTAAAAGTAGCTTAAAATCATTTTTAATACATTTCAATTTCTAAAATATTTATTTACAAGCATTGTTTTTAAGATAAAAATATTACTTGACTTGATAGTAAATCAGATTTATTTTAAAAGTAACTTACTTATTTGACCAACAAAAGAATTATTTATTCTAAAATTTGTTTACTTATTAGTAGAGCTTTAAATGGATCGGATCCGTCCATATTCAATCTGATCCAATAAGAATAATTATTCAATCTGATCCGATAATCCAACTAATATAGTCCATATAATTTTTTATGTATCGGATATCCGATTTGATAACACGATTCGAAATTAAAGAAATTAGAAAAATAAAATTAATCTTGAAATTAACTTTTCTTTTCTTTTTTCCTCCAATTTTTCCAATTCTTAAATTGGTTTAATAATTATAATTTTTTTTTTTTTAACTTTTAGCCAATTGGATTGAAAGACAAAAAAAATTGCTTACGCATTTATTTACTCACTTATTTATCTAGTGTATCTTTGAACAATTTGTTATAAACTTTCAATATAGGATAAGAATCCATATGGTTTGACTGCAGTGTATTGTACTATTATATAAATAGTTATTTATATTTTATGAAATTAATGATTTTCCTATCTTTTGCTAATTAATAAAAGCTTAAAACTCTCCAAATATTTCTATTAACACTATTATAATATATCTTTTTTATCGAATATATTTATTTTGTTAAACTTTTAAAATCGTATATGATAATATAATTTGTATGTATTATTAAATAATTTTAAGATTGATTAAAAATCTAAAATAATATTAAAATAAGAAAATATTTTTTTACTTTTCTTTCCCGCCTAGGCTTTGTCTAGACTCACCTAGTTTGACGTCTCACCACACATTATGCTTTCTAGAACACTGTGTACACAAGTATTGACCTTTTTTATTTTTTATATTTTGAATTTGATGACTTTTTTATCTAATTTTTTTTTTAATTTTAATGACAAATAAATGTCATAAAAATATTTAACAGACTCAACTATTTATAACAAATCAGATCGACATATATCCATATTTGATCTATTTAGTTAATGGATTATTAAATTTGGATCTGGATCGAGTTATCGAATGAGACCTTAAATTCACCTCCCATTAATTTCATTGAATTTCGATCAAAATTCAATCTATTAACAGCCTTACTTATTAGTAAACTTAATTATAAGCAAATTCGTTTGAACTTATCCATACATGGACTATCAACCTCTCCGAGTATCATGGGATTTGTTTATGAAATATCTAATTTCTTGACTCTTGTAATTGTTAAATATATCCTCCTGATTATAAATATATTATTTTATCGATGCTTTTAATATGAGAATAGCACAAGTAACCGAAAATTTTGATTATCTCCTTGTTCAAAACAATAATTCATTTATAATAATGAGCTGAAATAAGTTAATTATTTTTTAACTTTTTAGTTTTTACTCACTATTGTATTGGGTACAAAATCAAGCACTAGGTTTAAAAACTGGTCATAGGTAGCTATCCTACATTGGACACATTGAATCTTGGATCATGACATAGGACATGTTCGATCGTGCTTAAAATCCAATTAAAATTGAAAATATAGTATTTATTAGGTCACACTCGTCTAATAAAAGCCAACAATAACGACTAGTTTTTCAATTTTAATCCGATTTTAATTTCTATCGAATACGCCCATAACATCTTCAATGGCCGTGCTGGAAAAGTAGATGAAGTTGAAAAGAAAATCATGTTAAACTTGATTGAAAGGCACATGGGGTGACAATTTTCTTAAGACATTTCTCCCACACTAAATCGGCGATGCACACAAAAAAAACAGTGACACCTCCAGGATACAATGAATTGCGAATGTGGGTTGAGTTGTGCAATAAGAAAATAACACAAATATTAAGAAGAATAGAAGCCAAACTAAAGAAGTTTATATTTTGTATTTCTGAATTCAGAGAATACAAAACTGAAATAGGGAAGAAGAGAAACCAGGGTGTCTAGTCAGGCAGCGTGAATGCCCCGGCTTACCAAATGCTGGCCAATCAAAAGTCAAAACATTTCGACTCAGGTCCTGATTCCACACGATGTCTCTTGAACCAATTATCATTCCTACTCGGACACTACAACGGACGTGCGTTGAATCAAGATAAGGCAATAAACGTCTTTACTTTGGACAAACAATAAAATGTAGCACTCATTCATCGATTGTCATCTCTTTATTTTCTTCATTTTATCTCTATATACGTTCCATCACTCAACCAATCTGATACCGATTTTAAGGCCTGGATATCCAAATTGGATAATATGACGGTGAATCCATAAACGAGCGCTGAGCATAGGTGGGTTTTCAGTATTTTCCTTGTACAATAATATCCACACCAGAAACAGTAAATAGATAAAAGATCGACATGTATCCTAAACAAGAGAAAAATGGAAAAAATGGACTTCAAATTTTGAACGACGAGAGCTCTAGGACTGATTAATTGAATGAATGGCAGCATATTTACAACCACAAATAATTATCTCCAAATTCATTCAATCCCTCTAAGATAATAAAGCAACACAATTACAATGAACAAAAGACATGAACACGAGGCAGTATACCCAGTAATAATCACCAGAAGGGACTATAAGCAAATAACATGTAAAAATAAAATAAAATAAGAGATAATTGGCAGAAAAATAACGTACTTTCTTCTTGCAGTTAAGAGTCTCGCATTTGGGATAAAAAATCTGCAGACATCTTTAAGTTATCTCCCCTCGTTGCTCATTGTAATGATCCGTCTTTCATCAATTTCAAGCTGAGATTATTATAACGTTCTCTTGAATATTGTCTCGATGCCTTTCTACAGTCTGTACCAGCTTTCATCATTGCAGTAAACTCGTCATAACTTATACGTCCATCCTGCAGAAATAACAAGTGTAGGTCAGGAGAATGCATATGATTAAAAAGTTAATAAGCACATTTTAAGTCAAGTACGAAAGAAAAAAGGACCTTGTCTGTGTCTACATCTTGAATAATGGCATTGATAACTTCTTCACTGGTGCTCTCAACCTCATCAGCAAAGGTGTCCCTTAGCTCCTCAATCTCTATATATCCACTTTGGTTTCTATCAAAGAATTCAAAAGCTTTACGTAGATGGTCATCGTTGCCCATCTTCCGTAAGTGTACAGAAATTGCAACAAACTCTCCGCAGTCGAGATATCCATCCTTATTAACATCACCCTGTAAAGAAAAAGTAAAATTGTTAGATGTGATGGTAGTTGGAGCATCCAATAACTCGATTTGGTATATGCATAATTACAATGTTCAGTATTATACATTTATACTTCATAAACGAAAAAGGAAAAATATGGTTATGGTAGAAAAATTGCTTAGAAACCACAACCACAGCCAGGTTGACATTATCATGGATTGATTTGGGCATTATGTTGACAAGGAATTTAATGGAAGTATATTGTTTATGATTTGCAGGGTAGAGACAAGACTTCATCACAATAACGATATAAAATTCTGACACTGGAACAATGCCTGTCAAATAAGAGACGGGTCTAACTAGATAGAGTGCTTACAGCTTCCATAAGAACTTGAAGATCTGCATCCGGGATCTGATGACCAAGTTTCTGCAACCCAATTCTCAACTCATTAATGTCAATCTTCCCCTTATTACCTGTATCCATTAATTTGAATCCTTCCTTTATGCCTGCCACTTCCTCCACTGACAAATGCTCGGCGATCACCTATCATTTAATCAAGCAATCGCTAAACAAACCATTGCTACAAGACATCATTTAACAAAAATGAACAACCTTTGACAATAGATATAAGGATGCAAACGAGGCATAAATGTGCTTGGACACTTGAAAAACCAAGACATGTTACCCGAAGAGCTCGTTTCTTCAGCTTGTTCATCATTGAAAATTGTTTGAGCCTAGCTCTCACGGTTTCACCCAATGAAACATTTGGAGCACTCTTCGCATTTTGTAACCAAGGATGATCTGAAAAATCAGCACCTACTTTTGTCAAGAATTTCATGCTGATGTGACGAATTTGGAAAGTAATCGAGCATTTCAATGAGCAAAAAGGGCATAGTATATAAATTTAGGTTAATTATATTAACCCACCTGGCATTCCTGATTAACACACTATCACTCCTTGTTGTTTGAAAATTTTCAAAGACTTGCACAGTTCCAAACAACTGGAGGTATTGGTTCATTAATCGGAAATGACAAAGGGTGTTAGTGTAGTTCTCTATATCAATTATGACAGTGACTGTATTTTACCTAGAACTTCCAGCGCCGTAAGCCGCTGCTTGGGGTCGGGGTTGAGCATCTTCTTCACAAGGTCCTTCGCTCTATCAGAAACCTTAGGCCAAGGGTCCCTTTTAAAATCCACAACAGACCGAATGATTGCCCGGGCAACTCCTTGTTCAGTTTCTGCAGTTCCAAAGACGGTATGTCACGACTATGTCAAAAATGAAAGACAGAAACCAAACAACTATGCAATTCTAGACAGCTACTTAAATAAATGAGGTATGTAATTATATATTTATATATCAATTCTATATCCAGTCATGAGTTGGTCAATTAAAAGAATCATCCTTTCTACTTGGTAATAGTCTTGTATAGCTGTATTATCCTACGCAGAACATGTTTGGCTAAGATTAAGATAATTAAATATTACTTTTAGTTTCCATACACATGGATAACTACTTTTTCTTACTTCGTAAAACGGGATACTTATTTTGAAACTAACTCTAATCTTGTAGCCAAAATAAGTAACATATCTCCAATTTTCATCAACAAAAAAATTAATTACTCAAAATTTTCTTATTTATTAATAAACTTTTTAAAAATAGCCAAATATGCTTTAAGAAGAATCTATTACTACAAAAGAGCATCACCCAAATGTTTGATGCCCTTGTGCTGTAGTGTTCGAGGAAGTGAGAACAATGTAAAATAAATGGTAGGATAACGTCGTAAATTCCTACTCCAAAAGCTCCATGGTCATTCTTTGGCATCCTCTAACATGAAAAAAAAATTGCTTAAAAATAACTTTTAAGCTTAGAGAGCCATGCTCTAGGATGCTTTCATAATTTTGGGTGTTTGTCCACACGAGACATTACTAATTAATTCCTAAGATGTGGAAACTGGAGACAGACCTGCCCAAAACGGTGGAACACCACACAATAAGATGTACAGAATCACACCAGCACTCCAAACATCAACTTCTGGACCATAGTCTCTCTTCAGCACCTCAGGAGCCATATAATAAGGACTTCCCACAATCTCATTAAATTTCTCACCTTAAAAAATTACAAATAGATTAGCTAAGACTAATGAAATAATCAGCAACTGAAAGAAAATTAAAAATTTACTTGGACGCACAGAAAAAAAAATGAAGAAGAGGCATTACCAGGCTTGAAGAAAACTGATAGCCCAAAATCAATAGCCTTTAGTGGAGATGTTTCCTTCCTATTTGCAAACAAAAAGTTTTCAGGCTTAAGATCACGATGCATGACCCCATGCTTATGACACATCTGCAGAACAGCCATAGATATTAATTCGAATGGTGAAGCACAATATAGTATGATTTCTTTGAAAAATAATTTTAGGGGAAAAAAGACAATGAAATGGATGAAAGAAAATGTGGGAACTAAGAGAACGAATTGGACCTATAATTTGTCATTTAGAATAGTATATAGGAAAGAGATGTCAAGCAATGCATCTAGACACAGAGTAGAGCAAAGAAATCAAATAATAGCAATTAAATATCATTGTGAATGTTAGTATAGGACAAATTCACACATGTCCGACATTAAACTACTTCCAGCAGACGAATGTGATCCAAAAATAGTCAGAGACTCCTCTAAAGTCCAAGCGGTGAATTTTTTTGGGGTCACTCAAATTTGAATATAATATGAGAAAAAATAAGAGAAAGTGAATAAGCATTGCTAAGCCTAGAGAATCGGAACATCCAGAAAGCCTTAATACATTTTTTCAGACTTCAGATAGCCAAAAATTGAAAACCCAACAGGCAGAGCGTACTCGAAATCAGATTGATCACCAAGCGAACTTTTCAAAACCTCAAATAAACCATTTCAGTTGATGTCCTCAATTACTCACTGTAGTAGGTTCATGTAATTTAGCAAGTAGATCTTCTATATAAATGCAAATACACAACTAGTAAATTATAGCACTCCATGTCAAGAAATTAACGGTATGGAAATCAGAACTACGAAGTATGAACTATAACATAGTATGCAGATCAGACTTCAAACTAATAGCAACACCAAAATCAAGTATATCGAATCTTCACCTGAATAACTTCAACAATCGTACGAGTAACAGCAGCTGCGGCTCTCTCAGTATAATGTCCTCTAGCAACAATCCTATCAAACAATTCACCGCCCTCACACAACTCCATCACTATGTGGACTGCATTATCATCCTCATACGTATCCTTCAAACTTACTATATTGGGATGCTTAGGCAATTTTTTCATGATCTCGACCTCTCTCCTTACATCCTCGATATCCACTCTCGTTCTCAATTTCTTCTTGGATATCGATTTACAAGCATAAACTTCCCCACTAGATTTGTCTGTACATAAATATGTAACCCCGAATTCACCACGACCTAGTTCACGTCCGAGCTCATAGAACTGCTCAATATTATGGCCCGTTGGATTGCTTAACACAGAGGATTTGAATCCCCCATTTGGCACTGCTTGATTACCACCATAATCAATAGCAAAGGGGTTCGGCTTGTGCTTCCCCTTTTTTACCTCGTCGGACGTTTTTGGTACAGCGCAGCAATTCCCCATAAAGCTATAAACTTCGACCCTTAATTTTCAATATTTACAAACAATGGATCTCAAGATTTGAGCCAAACAAAGACAAAGATCTATCAAAATCTCAGTCTTTTTTATCAAAGCTTCAGTTTCCCCAACTAAACCTTCAGTTCCCCCAACTAAACCTTCAGTTCTTAAACTTTCCCCACCTTTTGGATCTATCAGCCAATTGGGCTTCCGAATTTCAAGAAAAACAGCGGTCTACAAGATCAAAATCTAATCTTCAGAACCACACAAGAATCAAGAAGATAAAAAGAGGGTTTTTGTAAGCTTTCAAAACCCAAAAATCTCAGATCTCTTCCAACACGAATTAATATAGAGATTTTCAGATGAAAGGGGTGGAAAAACCAAAAATATGAGATGAAAATGTTATCTTCTTATGGGAAAAAAAATATTGAAGAAAATTCTGATATTATGAGAGAAATTTGGGATGCCAAAAACTTTGGAACGTGTTACGTATGGGAGGTGATTTAGGGGAAAAGTGAAGAGTTTGGCGATGGAGAAGATGATGAGAATGGGTATTAGTACATCATCTAGAGAGGAGAGAGATTTTCCTCCTACTTTGCCTCTAAACTTTTCTCTCGTTCTTTGACTTTTTTTTTTTCTTTTCTTGTTTCTCTCTCCATATATTGTTTTTTGTAAAATGAAATTTTGTTGTTTCCAAAATTGTCCAAATGAGAACTGAAGAAGGTCCAAGAGCTTGTTTGAGACCGATTAAAATTTAATTAAAATTGAAAATATAGTTATTATTGGGCCCCACTCGTCTAATAAAAGTCAATAATAACAGCTAATTTTTAAATTTTAATCCGATTTTAATCTCTACCAAACGGGCTCCAAATAAGAACGGAAGGTTACACATTGCTGTTCACATTTACATTTTTGAATCCGAACCTACCTCCTTCTTCTTTCTTTCTTTCTTTTTTAACATTTTGATCCCTTGAAAAACAAAATCACAAATTATATTACAAGACATAAAACAAATTTTTTTCATAGCTACAATTATAGGCAACTAAAAATAATAACAATATTTGATGTTATTGTCGGATTTCAAAAAAAAAAAACTCATCACCCATCCAAGCGATCAAACAAGATTTTGTGTCCTAGCACTGATGGATAGAGGGTACGTTCGTATGTAGTTGTCACTGCTTAAAAGTAAAAAGAAACCATAATTATCTTTTTTTATTGTCAGTGTAATTATTGATATTTGTAATTTGAATAAAACGTTTGTCGTTTGTCATTTTTGAGATAATCGCTTTAACTCTTACATTTGCACCATCAAATAAACCTTTCATTGCATAAACGGTACTTTCTGTCTGATTCCGTCCATTTCTTTTATAAAAATAGTTGTGTGCCCTCCTCCACTCACGAGGAAATGATCATTTACGTAATGAAAATATTGATCTGAGTTTATAAATGTTACATTTGAAACAGTATGAATAATTATCGCAAGGAAGGCAAAGGACATGGACGTTTTGTGCCATTGCCCTTATTGGTAGTCCAAAAAAGATGACTTCTTCTATGAAAGAAGCAAAGTCATTTGCAATTGTGTACAAATCAAGAAATATGTTAATAAAAAGTTGTTTTGAGTATTTATAAATATATTTGTAGACATGAGTAGAATATAATTTTAATTAAATTGTTTTTTGTATATTCCTATTAAATTCAATTAGTAGCTCAGATTTATCGTCCTTTTTTTTCGTATTGGGGTTCTCAAACTGTATTCGTATTAACGGAAATTTGGTAAAGCCTCAAGGACAAAAACGTCATTATATATCTGAAGTGTCCGTTTGGCCCCGTTATTCCACGTAATAATGAGAGGAATAGTATTTTTTTTAAGAATGTGTGGTTGAAAAATTAAAAAAAAAAATTGAATTTATGTATAATATTATTTTATTGAAGAATATTTAATTGATAAGAAGATTGCGAAAGATAATTTATAATTTAATGAGAAATAGTAAGGGGCCAAACGGGGCTAAATATAATTATCAAGATAGATACCTATGGAGTGTTGACTTTTTATCAACTGTGGTGTTCTAGAAACTCGCCAAAAGAAGTTGGGCGAAAAGTAGTAGAGCAGTCCCCGTTTATAGTTGTTTACAAATTTACCCTCAATACTACCTCTTGCATTGTAGCCTCTCCAGTACTGTTGTTGGTCAAGATTGTCATTGCACAAATAATATAACATCATGTTGATTTGACAAGCCTTTCTCGTGACTATCGTTAAGAGTCACGTAGGCCATATTCAGACAGCATTATCCCACCGTTAAACACTTGCACGCCTACTCGCCAACTATAATAGGGCCCCACACTTTATCAGGATATTTCAATATTCCTTTGATTTTGCTTATAACTATATTTTTAGGGCCTGTTTGGTATAGATTCTCATTTTCAACAGTAAATTAATTCTCATTTTCAACCACACATTCTTCAATAAAATAATATTTTCTATCACATCAATACATTTTTTTTTCAACCACACATTTCCCATCATATCACTATTCAAAAATCAATTATTCCCCTAAAAATCACTACCAAACACACTCTTAATAGATTTTAATAAAAATAATAATATATATGGTTAAAAAGTAAATAAAATGCATAGATATATAAAGATGTTGTTTGGCACGCTTTTTTTTCAAAATACATTCTTTCGAAACTCATTTTCGGCCACAAATTTTTCAATAAAATAATATTTTTCATCACATTAATAATATTTCCTTACTATTGAACCATATATTTCACGTCATATCATTATTTAAAATATATTTTTTTCTCAATAATATCCAACAAACACACCCAAAATATATTGTTAAAATTAATTATTGACCACAACTTAAAATTTTATCAATTTTTTAATTAAATCAAATGGACTTCATTCCTTCAAATACCTCGTTCAAACGTGCTTTGATTCAAAGACTTTTTAGATACACTGACTCTTGTTTGTTTAGATTTCATTATAAGTTGTTAGATACACTGACTCTTGTTTGGATCCTGCGAGATGTATTGTTAAAATTAAAGTTTGACTTTCATTTTAAAATTATATTGAGAGTACAATGAAAGGAATTTTTTTTACCTTTCATTATAAATTAAAGTCTAAATATAGTTTAGCTTCTATTAGAATTATAATTCATTTTTTCTCTTTATTCTTATCAATCACGCCTTTTTTAATAAAATTATATTACAGATAATCCAAAAAAATTATTTTTTTTAACCACATATTTTTCAAAACAATATTATTCCATCCATTAAAATTTCAAATAATGGAGGCAAACGGAGCTTAACAACGCATTTGGTAAGGCCTACATTATCAACCACCAATTTCTATAACATTATAATTTCAACAACTTATAATAAAATTCAAACAAACAAAATTTGGCGTGGCGGTGAATTTTATGAAAATTAGTTTTAGTTTTGATTAAGAAAGAATTGGCTGCGTTTAATAATTAATAGTATGTTTGACAAACTTTTATATCTTAGTTAGCTCCTGTTTGAGTCACGTTAAAATTCTCATTCTCATTTTCAATCATACATTTTTCAATAAAATAATATTTTCCATCACATCAATAATTTTTCCTTCTTTTTCAACCATACATTCTCCATCAATCTACTATTCTAAAATATATTTTTTCAAAATAAAAATTCTCATTCTCATTTTCAACCATATATTTTTCAATAAAATAATATTTTCCATCACATTAATAATTTTTCCTTCTTTTTCAACCATACATTCTCCATCAATCTACTATTCTAAAATATATTTTTTCAAAATAATGTAGTTCAAACACACTCTTATTATTTAATTCAATATTATATTTGAGCTATTATAAACAAAAAAAATCAATAAATAAATTCACTTTTGTGTATGTAATGATTTCCTTATGTATTATCATTACCAATTGTATTAAAAGAGTACGACTCTGGGTTTTCTTTAGCCGAATGGGATAAACCCATAGATTGTCATGAAGTTGGGATAAAAAATTAGCACAAATTTGTTGCAACAAATCTCTCATCTCTCCTTCAGTTAGTATATTACTTACACATTTGGACACATGTTGGACACCAAGATCATGGTACCGAGAAAAAAGATCGATGATCATTGTAACTCCAACAATCAAGTCATGTGCCAAAATTATGCAAGAATCACTACACCTAAAAGGGCTTTTGCAGCGGCCAAAAAACGTAAGAACATGGGAAAAAAGGCGTTTGGAAGAGAGAACACATGCAAAGATTTCGCTAGAGTTTAGAGAACGCGTACAATTGTACCTTTATCATCACCTGTACATGAGATGACATGATGATGTCAAAGATGAGGTTTGAGTCCTATATTTGTAACGTATCTAGGCGATGCATGCGGGACCATGCAACAGGACGTTATGAGCCTACGTGATATTTATTTGAAAATCAGAATTGAAAATTTAAAAAGCAATCCCACACGAGCCTTTAATAATCATGTTTTAAAAATCAATACGGACATCGATACGAAAAAGTTCCAAGAGTCAAATCATTGACTTGAAAATCATATTCATAGTAGTAGAAAACTTATATAGAGACGTAAAACAAAATTCAACCAATGAATCGGTCGATTTTGAGGGTAATTTAGTAAGTCGAACGTGAAATAAATAGTTATGTGCTTATTTTAACAGCTTTAATATTTATAGAATAACTAGAATTAATTTAGATTTGGTTTTTCTAATTGTACCGATAGGTTCCGTGAGCTTTAAATTTACAATTTTACATATAACTACACCTAATTTGGGATTGCTTTCCAAGGAATCCAGACTGTCACGCCAAAATCCATATAGAAATGAAGTGGTGGTTACAAGGCATATTTGGAAGCTTCGCTGGCTGCCGTCCTCATAGTCATTGGGTGCCGGCCAAACAGTTTCAATTGCAATGTTGTCCCGCTCCTGTTTGATAGAAATTATAATTTAGGGTCTTTTTTATTACAAGTATGAAATTTGAATGGAAATAAA